GCTTATCTCCCTGTTATCGGCTCATCTAGTTCGCCTTCAGCTGGGTTTCGCGGCCTGTGTAAAAGGTTTAAGTTGGCCCCAGGAGACGACGTTTTTCGTCAGGAAGAGTCGGGTAATCTTGCCTACGTATTTAATGGCGCGTACGTTCCGTTTGCGTGTCAGACCGTGAAGATGGCTTTCGAAACGAGCAAAGCAAAAGATGAGTTCTTCCACTCCCTTGGTTGCTTAGCAGAACTGCAGCGATCTTCGGACGAAGCGATCATTCCTAGCAGAAGGTCAATATTCGTTTGTTTCCTTGGTGGTGTTACTTATGCCGAAATAGCTGGATTGAGGTTATTATCTCAGCTGAAGCAATGTGACATTTGCATCGCAGCAACTTCAGTGGTTAGTCGTAATTCATTTCTCCAGACAGTTTCGGATCTCTCGTTGTCTCTGCAAGATAGGCGAAAATGAACCGTTATTTTTATTATTGTTCTCACTGGCCCCACTGGTTCTCACTCATTTTAAAATTCATTTCTTTTAGTACATCCAGCATATCGTTGGGTCATGTTGTCTATGAAACATTGAGAATGTGTCGCTCTGAAATCTTGAGCTTCACTGTGACGTCTTCGTAACTCCAGTGCAGAGTTTAAACACGAGTTCATTTGTGATTTTGTTATATTACAACTGTTATTTTCCTTGTTTTTGTTTCTTTTCACTTTTGTTTTAACTTTTTGGAAAAATAAAAATTCTGCTTCACGCTCGCCATGACCATTTCACTCACACGGCGGATCTCTGCTAATTGATCAGCAGTATTCGCGTCTGTTCGAAATTCCGTACATTTCTGAACTGGAGGCCTGCAATGTAAGAAAACCCCTTCACAAATTCAGCATCGTATTCTAAGGCAGACAATCGCAGCTACGGTAAAACATGGCACCGACTATTAAACATACTCTAACGCTCTTAAAGAGTTTTCAATCGTTTTCCGTGCCAGAAGTTTTCACTGGAATCTGTCCAAACCGCCCTGCGATGTTGTCTGCTAGTTTGCTCTGGTATCCACACCCGCAAATATCTCCCACTTAATTCTCTGGTTCCCCCTGATTTCAGGCCTTGGATGATGAAATATTGATAGCTCTATCCCTTTCTTAGCACGAACCCCCATTCAGAGCGTCATAATGCAGTTATATTATAAAATTGATAATCGGTTTTAATACTCAGGCTTTCCTATGCCAGCATACATATGTACTTTAGATGCTTAAAGGAGGCTTGCATAGTAGACATTCTGTTATTCACGTAATAACGTCATTCTGTTATTGTCAAGATCTACATGACCGTTCTTACAAATCAGGTCATGTTACTTTCAACAACACTGGTTGGCACCTTATGCAGATCATCGCATTAAATAAGCATCTGTCAGATAGGTTAAGGCGGATATCGGTCTCGAGTTCCGCTGATCAGGCAGTATAATCTTAGTTCTCTCCCATTCTGGTATGACCACAAGAATAACATCCTTATTGTATTTATTAGTAGTGAATCTACTTGAATATTCTAATAAACACAAGTTTTACCAACTATCGGCTGATCAAAACGTAAGCAATACTTTTCCAACTTTTAATTTTTTCCTCTTCATGAGGTCGATTCTATTTTATGTTATTGACCAGTGCAAATGTGCCTTTGAAGGAGATTAACTTCACTGTTCTGGTCGATTTTGTAGCGAATGATTAACGGAAATGTTGAGCCCCTGACTGCTTCAGTCCTACAGCGGAGGATCGTAATTTTGCTGCGGGTCCCTTAATGGTTCGATATGCAAGTCGCTCTGTCGTCTTGAAGGGTATGTTCGTCGTTTGTCGAGGATGTTGTCGTCGAACTTTGCGGCAGTCATTACTAAGTTGATATGCTACTTTATAAGGGCTTGTATGTCAGGTCCACAAGGGTTGGCTAGTAAACTTAGTAGGAGCTCGATGCGGCGATGGTGGCGGCCTTTCAGGCCATCATAATAGGCGGTGCTTCGTAGAGTAGCAGCGGCATCTCGCGGCCTTGTCCGAAGAACTGCAGCATCTCTTGCTTCACTCTAAGACGCTTCATTCGTATGAGAAACGAAAGAGCTCTTGTGAATTTGGCAGTCATAGATGAAACTTGTGAATCCCATGCATGGCATTTCTCTATTTTCATGACTGGATACTTCACTTCGAAACGGTTGTGAACGCTCTCACATTTTTGCCTGTGATCCGTCGATTGTTCATCATTTCCTGGGGTATAGGTCTCTGCCTTACGGAGTGGAGCATGATGCCGACCAGGAGATGAACGATGAGAGGATATACGCTATTTATCATACTGCCGTGAGGGATTGCATTAAAGGCTGAATTGTAGTCAAGGATATCCACCCATGTGAACCTGCAGCTATCATCAATACTCCATGAAGCGTAAATTGTGCGCGTCGCTAGAACGTCAGTAGTGCAGCTGCTGAAAGTTAACTGGTATGGGTCGATATACTGATCTATAGGGTCTTTGATCTGATGCATTAGCAAACGTTCCATACATTTGAATCCAGTTGACGACACCGAAATTGATCTGTAGTTTTCCAGCTATTTAAGAGTCTGTGTTTTGGCACGGTTGTGACTCGCACACTTTGTAATGCGCTTGGAAGAAGGCCATGGTTGATATAGCGATTGTGAACGATTTCGATAGCACGCGAGCCCCCAGCTTTAATGCGATAGGCGAAGGTTGCCTGGACCAATAGCTTTAGTGGATTTGATTTCTCAGAAGCATTTCTGGGCTTCATTGTTTAATAAGATGATTTTGTCCGAGGCATCTGCTGCTATATTTTGAGCAGTATTTGAGGCTTCAGCTCCCTTTTGAAAGCGCAGGAAGAAATTATTTAAGTCGCTTGGATTGAAACTCTGTGATGTGCGATTTATCGAGCGGCTACATATTTTATTGATGCTTCCATTTCTCTTGGTTCACCATAGATGCAAAAAATTTCCTGTTTTAACCCTGAATTTGGCAGTTCATTGCCGCAACCTTTTCTATTCAGGTGTGCATTCCGCAACACAGAATTTACCTTTCGCTGTTAGCAGACTTCTTACTGTTTCAAAGTTGCAATGAGCATTGTGCAGGTAGATCTCGCTTAAGATACAGGTTTCGAATCTTTCGTTACATATGCCATCAAAAACAGACGTTAATTTGAGTCTTGGAAAATAGCCCTGTCTGTCTGATGCAGAAAACCAACAAACCTGACAGTATTCTCCGCGCATATCTGCAACTGCTTGGTAGCGTGGCGGTTTTGATTTATAAGATGACGTAGGCCAGGCATAGCACTTGTTCTTGATGACCAGACATAGCACCTGATGGAACAATAGTCTGATGACCTCTACGGTGCTAAACGTCGAAAGCCAACACATGTTCTGTCATTTACCATTGCACGGTGCAGTTTGCCATAAAGCGTGTGACGAATTTGACCATGTCTTTGAGGCTGATGTCAGCCAGAGCATTTTGATCGTGCTGGTTCACATTCACAATTAGTAGCAACAGACTGTTATTTATAACGAGGAACACCTTATTAAGCAACTATTTCATTAATATATTCACTATTGTTTTGAGACAATTAGGTGAGATATAGATATTGCCTAGCATCACACGGCAATAAATTGGTAGACATCGTGGATAGCATTTCAAAATGAGGCACTGCAAATCTTCCGTCAGAATGAAAAACACTAAAAAATTTGTTGTACATTATCTGTTTACCCAAGTTGTAACACCGCCTCTATGTGTCTTCCATACCAGTGGTTTGTCCAAGGCACAGCAGTCACGATGATCGATTAGTACAATTTTGTTGTCAACAGACGAGAAAAATCATGATTCTTGGATTATCGGTGCCCGTGCATCGCGGCATGCAGGCGAGCGCAGCAAGACAAATGGTTCGTGTGACTTTTGGAAAAGGGATTTATAGTTGAAGGAGAGCACAGATGGTATTATCATTTTTGCAGGCGATGACCACTTGGAAGCAGCGAGCCAATCAGATCTTTGACCTCGTTTGGTCCTTCAATGAGCAGTCGCTAGCGCATAATCTTTGAGATGATGTTATTGTAGCGGTGAGGTATGGGGGTAATCGAGCATGTCAGGTCGAGTGTGATGACCAAAACACCATACTATCGCTTTTGCTCGCAAACCAACGACTTGTTACCTGATTCTCGGTTGGTTGCACAAAGGCGATATGAGTTCAACTCCTTGCTCAAGGTAATTCGCGATTAAGACATTTCGTATTTTCTTCGGAATCGAACCATAGTTAGAAATCGATTTCTTTTCCATAGTGTCACTGCGCCCAAACCTTTACAGTATGTGCTTCCTTCGCGACAACTGAAGCTGTCTATCAAAATGTTGGATTCCTCAGGGAACACCTCTATCAAAGCACCTTTTACCCAACCAAGAACGATACTTATTCTCTCAGTGAATCAAACGCATTCACCTGTAACAAAATCAGATCTTCAGTTTTGGTCGGAGGGTTGTCTATCTTTCGCTGACATTCTCTCATTTAATTATTCTGTCAGTGAGATTAGATTCTGTCAGGTCACTAGCATCAGTGTGAGCGGAAATCGTCATGTTGAAGCCTGAGTAGAATCGCTTTCAACCACAGAAGTTCAGAATTCCAATGCTCTGACGCTTCGATGACAACGATCCAACAATGTCATATCGGCTTTATCAACTAGTTGCTGTTGTTTCCCTCGGAGAGAGATGTTTTAATTTTCGATTGTGACTCCCACTGCTGATATTGTTTCCATGATACCTTATCTCACGCATCATAATGAATTCGCGTAATATTCCACTTCGTTTTAAGCTGGAGACATCTTAACCGCTCTCTGTTTCTCCGCATAGATTTTTGGCAGTTGTTGCCATGCTGTTACATTCCCAGCGGCCGCAAGGCGTGAAGCGGATTTTAGCTATCATCATTTCGTATTTTACTGTCTTTTCCAACAACTTGCGTGGCCCTTGAATATACTGTTACGATAGAGCCAGTACAATATTCGATAACGTCGAGGTCGTGAGAGACAGTTCCGAAAATTTTTTGAGATGTTATACCAACGGCCTCAACTCTGCTCCCCTCATCCGGACATGAACCTATCGGTAAATGCTGAATTAATTGGCACAGCTGACTGTGTTAATTTGTCTACTTTGATATTTATTCCTTTAATTTGTGATGAAAATCAAGATTCTTTGATGATATTGCTCAGACTGAAAGCTTTCTTCTTTCCTCTTCGTCAAGACCTTTAGAACTGCTTTTCACTGGTTTAGTTTGTTTTTTATAAGGCTGTTACTAGTAATCAAGCCAGAAGGTGTTCACACAATGCTTTGGTACGAGATAATTGCTAATATTATACTCTAAAATATCCATATGCTTCCTCAATCCGGTGTACTAAATCGTCCTCTTATTTTCAAGATTTTGTGACACCGCAGCTGGCATAAATATTCGGCAATTAATTCTGAGTGCAGTAAAATAGACTCAAGTTGTTTCTCGTCCTGGGATATCGCTTTCAGTGTGGAAACTTAGCGTTTCTTATTAGAGCCGATAGCTAGATGCAATCATTCTTTATTGGTTTTAATGTATGATTACAATATCAGCTTCTGAACTTCATATGAGGCATACCTATAAATCATACAGTAAACATATACGGCAAATTTGCTAGTGACTTATCCGAACCAGTTATTTCAAAGTTTGTTTGATTTATGTCGAATTTATTTTGTTTGCTTCGCGCTTGACTTTGATACGGTTGAATCGTGCAAAGAGGTCTGTCGTATGTCTATATAAGGATCCATTCGTTTTTGGATTAATGTATCCAGAAACTAGATCTAG